TGCTGCGTTATCGAAAATGTTATCCTGAACTGTTAAGTCGCCATAACGTGTGGACGTTAAAAATAGCATTTATGATACAGCACAGGGCTGAATGTCGATTTTAACGTAAGCCCATAAAAAGAAATCCATTTTTGTCAAATCGGGTGAACGAGGTGGCCACTGTGGCCACGTCTGCCTCTCCACCTCTCAGGAAAATAATTATTTAGGTACTCATGAATTTGAGCTGTATGGTGAACCAGAGCTCCATCATGTAAATACCACATTCTTTCCTTGATATGATTAGGTAAATGATCAATTAAAGGTGGCAATTCAAATTTTGACACTTATTTATTGACTACATAGCCACCTTACAAAATGTAGCAACTTTTTGAAAATTTTAAATAAAATTAATTATAATTTGAAAACGGTTGATTTCACAGCTTAAAGTGTAAATGCAAATTTGTAACTTTGTAAATTGTCTATCTAATGGCGTATTAATATACAGATACTTCCATTTGAAAAACGAAAGTTACCTATATTGCGTTAAAAAGTTTTAGATTGAAGTCCACATTGTTAACACCCTGTACAATGTATTGCTATTTTGGTTCAATAGAATTCTTAACGGATCTGTGGTGATTGGAAAGACGTATTTTTTGGTATTTTTAACTGCTTTTTTTTGCTTCTACAATTAATTTTTAGATACCATGTTTTTAAGCAAAATTTTACTAAAATGGCGATAATCTGCCAACGTCACAAGTAAGAAAAAAACAATTTTCTGTGCATATGCTGCGTTTCAGGCTGCATTCCATGAGCTAATGAAAAATGGGTAGTTGTCTTTAAAAATACACCTTGACCTTGCCTGGCTTTTCTGAGACACTCTGTATCATATAAGATATTTTTAAAATGTGCGCACTTTGTGCGTCAACAACTTCTATATGAAACTATTTTTAGAAAGTTTAACACCATCGGAAGTAATGAACTCTATCGAACTAAAAAACCACCCTGTATATTTTAATATACAGGGTGTTAGTAAATAAGTGCAAGAAGTTGCAGGGAGTGATTCTGCATGCAAAAATAATGACTTGTTTTGTTTGCTTAAGCGAAAGTCCGCAAATGATTTGTTTTCGGAAATACGGGGTGTTTTGATGCAAAAAATTAGAACACCTTAACTTAATTTTTCATTTATTTAACACATTATTTAGAACTATCTAATGGAATGACAATAAACCATAACACTAACAGAAAATAGCACTAGTAAAATTTGTAATAGACGCAAAAATACAATAAATGTTTAAAATGACCTTCCTCAGATGTGATTCAACTCTTAGCCTCATTGAATACGTATCGCAGAAAACAAATCATTTGCGGGAAATTTAAGGCCCTGCCGCTCAGTTATTTAATTGTTTTTGGAAAACTGTTGTATTAACTTGAGACACACATTTTTCATATAGAATCACCTCGTGAATTTTTTGCGCGTCATTGTCCAACTCCCTCTATAATATGATATTTATATTATTGGTACTAGCGCTGTTCTAGCATTTCCTTTTTGTAGGTAAAAATTATTTTCAACCTAATGTTGTAGACTCAATCGTAGAATGCAGACGTAAATATTCATTACTTTTATATAATACATATCAGCAAAAATAACATTTTTGTGCGGTGAAGGTTGATAAAATTAATGATGTGGTTAGTTCAAAGGCGATTTGAATCTATAAAATGCGACTGGAATGGAATAAGTTCCATAATAATTACGTGCCGCAAAAACATTTGATTAATTATAGCCGATAGTTGCACTTAATGAAGATCTGAAATGCGGTGTGTAATAATTATTTACCTGCAAAGTTAATTGAAACGTATTCGAATAAACAAAACGCGGTGTTAGACTTAAGGACTGATGTGGACGATGTGGTTCTATCAAGTCAGATGCAATACATACTTAGTTGTATTGTTCAGCATTTATCGCCTTTAAGTAATTCAAATTTATTGTCATTTACTACTTTTTCCCGTACAATTAACTTTTATAAATGTGCTTTGTTATTCAGATTTTTTAACCTCCAATTCAGGGAATAAAAAGTGAACATTAATTCAAAATTAAGCTTTAAAATAATGAAAGTATTTGTACTTTTACATCTGCACTTATGCCAGAGACGTTGAAAGCGAAGAGAACGCACCATTGTCAAGTAAAAGTTATTTAAAAACTATTTACATAAGCCTGCACTTTAATTCAATTGGCCTCAATCCACCAATCGCAATAATAGTAGAGCCTGGAATTTTTGGAGGTGAAAGTTTGCAAATGAAAAAAAGCTGTTCTTGAACCACTTATGAGGGCTACAACTCGTTTTAGACATTTTGCACATACTATATCACGATTATCCCTTTAAACGTTGACCACGTATTTCGCATCTGTATATGCATTTAATTAGCTGGAAGATTTAAAAAAATCTGATATACCTACATGTCCTTGCATGAAGGTGAACAGATAATTTTTTACAACTAGCGGATAAGATTAGATAGTAAAGTGCATGAACTTTCCTGGAATAATTTTATTAAAACGTAATCTGAAAGTGCAAATAAACAGTACAATTATACGATCTCGGCTAGTGAAAGTATCCGAAAAAAGCTTTCATAGAATTAAAATCAAGAGCAGAACATATATGTCTCGTTACTAATGATTTCAAATTAGTTGATTTTATGCATTGAAGTATTCATACTTCAGACTATATGTATGTAGACTTTTTTGCAACCGGATTCGACTAACATGAAAATTGTCTTCCATTTTTGCGCATGAAACTGAACTATAAAGACAAATTTATATTTCTTCTTTCTATGTTTAACAGGCAATATTTCTTACTTTTTACAGAGAAAATCGGTCGTTATCTAAAGGCGAAACTGCGTTATACAGGGTGATTCAAAATTGGCGTCATTCCTCTGGAGGTGTTGTCTGGGGCTATTTGAGGAGTACAGAAAAATAGTTAAAAATATAATTCTTATTAAAAACTTAGAAATTTGCAAAAAACTATATCAGAAAGTAGGCAACAATGTTACAACAAGGATAAACGGAAAATTCAACAGGATTCGTTGAATGTGTGAACGTACTTTTTCGAAATATCAATTATTGTCCGCATAAGCTCAATGTTTACAAATAAACATCCATTTGAATCTTTAACTCCAAACAAGTTAGTGCCTGTGTAATCACCTTATTACTTATTATGCATTCTTGTCTAGCAGCTTCTCGTATTCGGTTAATTAACTCTTGCTCAATTTGTATCGGTGTTCAGCAGGTCATTGGTTTAATGTGTGCTTGTGCTCTGTTTATCTTACATACGTGGTAGGAATGTAGCCCTTCCTGGGTATATATTTGGTGCCTGGGAAAGTGTCAGTTGTACTGTGAGTACCCCTGGAAAGCTCTGCTGCAATTATGTCCAATACTTGTTCCTCTGTGTCTGGAACCCGAACATTTATTGTCGTCCACTATCATCCTGGAACCAACCCCCAGTATCTCAAGTCCTTTGTGGGTTGTTACAGTTCTTACAGCTTCTGCTATATAATTGTGATATTGCTCCAGAACTAATCGCATATCCAAAAATTCGTGAAAGGAGCGCGCTTTCACTCTGTTACGTCGTGATAAGTAAGCCCCTAGAACTTTTTAGGAGGGAGCCGATTTTGTACCATCTTCTAGAAGCATATAGAGACCACATTTGCCTAATAGAATGTCCGGAAAATTCCACTTCTAAACCACCTTACTGCGAAAACTAGCAATGGCCTTCACACAAAAAAACACCAAATACCGTTCAATTCAGCTACAGAACATTCATATTTGGGACTTACCATTGCTGTGCTTGTTGTTGATGTTGCCGTCCACTCTTTGCTTGCTGGGCAGCTGCAGCAGCAGCAGCTGCAGCTTGGGCTGCCGCCTGGATACAACCCTCGCACCGATCTTGGGGCCGGGGTGGTGGTGTGGCACAAATGCGACGTCCCCCACTGGCTCCCACGTACTCCACTGTCCCTTCGCAGTTGCCATGTCGACAAGACACTAAACTTGCCGCGACACGCGAAGCTGATGTAATTGGAGGAGTAATGGGACATTGAGTTCCCTTTTCCTATCGAATACATTATTGGAGCATTAATTGAAGAAGAGTTTATGTGGAAAGCTAATTTGTTTACCTGTTGATAATGTCCTCCAGTCGTTTGAAGGTTTTGGCACTGAATGTCTTGCAGGCTGGAAGTGTGACCCGCGCTTGTCACTGAACTTGCACTGGAACTGGAGCCAGGGCTCGATCGAGCTCCTCCAGATGATACAGTTTCGAATTGACAACACTTAAGTCTTGAAGGTGTGCCATGATTCGAATACCTTCAAGGATGAGTTTTTACGGATGAATCGCGAACGTCTTTCGTTTATCGATACTTACCGACTCTTCTGGAACTGGTTTTGTAAATAATGCATGGGCAGCCTGTAATAGTTAAGGTCTCGTCTCGTGTAGGGGTCGGAAGCATTAAATTGTTTGGGATAACGCTCGTACGATGACTGATACGAGTTGTAGAAAGGCTCTTGTGGTTGTGGCTGTGGTACATACCTGTTCAAATTCAATAAAAATATACGCTCTGTGTTTTTTCAAATGAATCGGAAACAGAAATGCGAATCAAAATTTTCAACATTTTACAAGTGAGGTATAAAAATACAGACCTTTCAACCGGCATATGCGCGTGCGGAGGTATGTATCGCTGCCCCTCACTAAACCTCTGCTCCCCATTATTCACCGTCTGGTAGTAGCCTCCCGAGGGCGTAGGACTGGCCCCGCCAGATATATGATACCTGTCCTGTTTTGAGGTATACTGATAGAACCTATCCGACGATTGATTTGGCGACTGATAGTGGTACTTCTCTTGATGATATCTGATGCATAAACCTGTATTATCACGCGTTGCTTAGAAAAATGGACTTGTTACCTTTGCTTGTTGCTTGGTCTATCCTCTGTGGGTGAGGGCGCAGGTAGCGGTGGAGGTGCAAATCGTTCCTGCGTAGCCGGCGCAACTGGACTTGGAAACGCCCCGTGCGCATAACAGTCGGTCGTTTCTGGCTCTCCGTCAGCAGGGGGCGGGGCCACGAAACGATCGCACGCTGGAGCAGGAGACGGAGGTTCTGATGTGGCCGAAGGCCCACCAAAAGGAGCCGGAGCAGGCGGACAAGCCAAAATTGATGGCGTAGCTGGCCTATAAAAGTGAACTATGTTTTATACATGAGTTTTTTGAACAATACATATTTCGAATGGACTAATTAGACATTTTTTTACAACAGTTTGGTTCCAATCCAATCCACTCCTCCTTAATCCTCCTTTTTTGTTTTTATTTAATTTTACTGTGTAAACTAGTAATGAGCGGGACTAGCAAAAAAAGTAAAACCAAGACCAAGACAATGTTCCAAGAACAAGACCAAAACCAAGATGATGCAAGTCTTCGTCTTGTTTTACTCACTCTTGTTTGACTAATATATTGTTATTATGATTGAAAAACCGCAGTATCTTGCGAATTAAGAATTAGGAATACTAATTGCCAAATGCAGAAATATTATTTTTTACAACAGGCAAGAAATATTAATACCGTAATGTCGGTTCCACAATATCCAGATTACGGTCTTAGAAAAGATATTTCTATAATCCAAGATAAACCGTTTGGCCTAAAAGGAATATTTTGCCAATATCCGACAAGAAGCAGAAAATGTATTTTCAATTTAGATATTTTCCGACTCGGATGACGAAGTCACCAATTCAGAGATTAAGGAAACGAGGTCAATTCGGAAAATTTTTATTTATTTCGCAACAAGCCGAATGGAAAATATCGTTTAGAGTATGCGACTGTTTTTCTAGCCGAAGGCAAAAATGAGACAAACAGAAATATGCGGATGTGATTTTCGAATTTGCCTTCTAAATCGATTCTAGAAAACGTCAATAAATAGTCTAGTAGTGTATGGAATAGAAGCAGCAACTTTCAATTTTATACTTTATATCTTTTAAAATTTTAAATTGATTTAATATAAAAACTTCAATCTCTCTTAAGGAATCGGTAATCCGGATTCTTGTGACAAAATGTTTGGTATTTTATGGCACGATGCATATACAGGATGATTCATTATGATGTGCAAATTTGTCTAGGGGGCGTTTGAAATGGCCTGAGTGGCCAAAACATTTAGTGCAAGAAATTATCTGTTAAACATGTCCTTAAGGTATGAATTTGCGCCTGGTTATGCAAAAAAAATATTCAAAGTTTTATTTTATAAATTTTATAACTATTGCAATGTCTTTGCTTTTTCTTGTCATTATAATTCAAATCCTTTACTATTGTGGAGATTCAAACTTTTGTTTGTTTAGAAGTTGTTGGAACAGTCTTTACAGTTCGAATTCGTTTTATTTAAATCTAAATGATTCTGTGTTTTTAACAACAGTTTTATACACATTTATCAATTAGTGTTCGGCTATCTAAACAAGTAAACTTGAAATTAAACTACGTTGAATAATTTTTGGAAAAAATGATAAACTCATTTGCTAGGGAGAAAAATCTGAATTAGGAGCTTCCATCCGATTCCAATTTTGACGAATGGATCAATTTCAAAAAATGAGCCAACTCATCCATAAATAGTCAGATTTGAGAAAATAGTTGCCTTTATAGAAACCATAAAGATATTTCTGCGAATCGCGCAGTAATTTCAGCTGTCGACGACCAAAAAGTTTTATTGCAGCTGTAAAATAAAAAGTTATGACGACTAGAACCGCTTGGTTTCTGCCAGCTCCATGATAAAATAAAGCGATACAATTGACAAAGAAATAAAACTGCTACAACAGTCACGTTATACCATCCATTAAGCCGACGAATACATGGAGAATTAATTGATCTAGCTGGAAAGCAGCAATCATATCTTCCGGATGCAATTAAACTGTTAGACTTAGCAAACTAAATATTAGATTTTTCGTTTTGATTAATGATTCAACAATAATGGATGCACATAGACTCGATTCTTGGATTCAATTGCAAGACTGGCTTTCTTATAGCGGTTATGAGATGAGATCTTGCCTGATATTCAATTTTGCAAGTAACCAAAATCAATATTCCTCCAAGAAGATTAAATAGAAAATCACTTGATTGAAAGTGGGTAACAAAGAAACTCTGTTCAGCAAGCAAAAACTTCTCCATCTAAGCAGTTTTACAGTAAGCAAACAAAAAAATAAAAATCTTGTAAAGAGAATTCACCTCCTTTCGGCTTATCGAATTTCTTTGCAATGCCGCTCGTTAAATACAGAAGTGTTCCATTATCTGGTAAAATTCCAAGTTCTGAGCGGAACACATGTACGCGCGTGTTTAAAGGCAAATGTTATTAATTTTAATCAGTCTAAAATCTCAGAAAATTATACTTCCTTTATCCAGAGTATAGCTGAACATGGAGCCGTCTTTCCCCTGTTACATGAGTACCAACATTTTTTTACGGAATTTTCAAATTCCAGAACAATCCGGAGATTTTTTTAATCAACAAAGGAAAAATATATTTTCATATTAACATGAGGGAAATTTCATCAAATTTGTAGCATGACTTTGTTAGTGAATATCTAGCTTTAGAGACTCAATAATTATCTAATCCGGATTCACTCGAAGTCTTCTGCCCTCTTTAAATTACAAAGTTTGATGAATTTATGGTTCACATAGATGGAAGTTAATCAAAGACCCCTAACAACTAATAACTCTGCATTTTGTAAAGTTTTAGTCTTGCAATTAGTAATGCTCCAATTAGCTACAGATTTGTATAGCTAATATGGTGGTCTCATGTAAATACGGGCCAGTATAAAACATGCAAACAAAACGCGAATACTCGTTAAGCAAGTACTTAACACGTTACGAGCTGGATGTTAATAGACACAGTGCAAAGCCACCAAGAATAGAAGAAGGAAAAAATAAATAAAGCTTTTAGCATATCGGAATCTGGGTCACGGCGAAAGGGATAACGGCAATAATGATTCAACCGAAGGGTGGACTTAAAATAGGTCGTGCTATTAGCATAAAGTTTGCCGATATTTCTTTCCGGGAGGATTTCACATGGGTATGAGATTTTTCGATTGGAAACATACAGTTAAAGCCCAATAATTAATCAGTTTGTGAAAATAGCGTGAGGGAATAAATTTGTGTCTTAGTGAATAGTTCGAATGGAATGAGATTTTCACCAGCCAAGAGGCGTTTAAGTCCTCTAATGATTTTTGCAAAGTTGCAAAAATGCCTTTGGATCAGTTCTATACGGATGAGGCGGGTACATGCTTGCAAAACCTTTTATTTGGGCATTTTGCCTCAAACTTTTGTTTTTGGGAATATATTCACGTCTATTATCACGATTTGATACGGTGAGTGATCTTTTTATATAAATACCAAATTTGTCCAAGTATTTTAATAAAACGTGTTACAATCAAGCCTTTGCAAATAGAATCAGACAACAGTCGTTTTCTACTTTTGTTATTTTACCTTTCATATTGGCTATTCGTTTCATACTGCTGTACCCGTCCTTGCAGATGCTCTCTTTGCAGCCTCTCCTTCCTATCCGAACTAGCTGATCTCTCTCTGATCTTGTAGACATCAGACTTCGAATTTCGCCTGTGGCGTTCAGTCGGGGTATATCTGAAGAACAAAGAGCTGGCCAATTATCAAATACGTTCACCTATATGGAGGTTTAAAGCCTCTAACTCGAATAGTGTCGTAAAAATAAACTTACCTATCGATCGAGCATGGGACTTGCGGCGACGTCTCCACTGCCTCCAAGTGGTACTTCTTGTCCAGCATGTGGAACCGTTCCGATGACGGAGTCGGGGTCCGCGGGTATGGCGTTGAGCTTGGATGGTACCTTAAGAAAAAATAACCTTAGCTGCTTAACTAGTCAAATTTTCAAGTCAAAAATCAAAGTAACTTAGAGTGCATGCGAACAACGCAATTGAAATGTGTTGTGTTTTTATATGCAGACTACACTATGTTTTTTCACATTTTCTGCAATAAATCGAGTCAACGAATAACACTTGAAATAAATGTCTAAAAATAATGTTTTCAGGACTTACCTGTCCAAGCTACCCTGTGTGTACCTGTCCCCACTGTTGCTGCTGTTAGGGGTTGTGAACCTGCCGGTAGTTCCAAGTGGTGCCGGGGTGGGACAAGACGTTCTTTCATTGTAGTGGAACCTGCAATTTAAATTACCTCATGTTGATCTTATTTATCAAATAATCTGGTTTGGTATTGAAGATTGAAGATGCGAAAAACATCGAGAAAATAATCTATTTTATAAAACTAACATTTGCATTGCGAAATGTATTAAACTGAATTCTTCCTCTATCCGCTAAATTCCGATTCCTGCATTCGTCTTTCACATTTATTCAATGGATCTTTACGGTTGAAAATGTGCACATGCAAACAATAAAACAGTAAAAAATCACCAAAAGAACCGAAAAATCACGGCTTAACATGCGTTCCATTAACATAACGATTATACACTCATGGATTATGTGTAAATAATTTTTCGATTTTTGTCTGTAAATAAATACATTTGAACCGTTAGCTTGCCTTTTTATATATTTTTTGCTACATTTTATCACTAAGGACCGATTAGGGTTGTTATTACAAACATGTACATTGTGATCATTTGACCGTAAAACACGTAATGATTAAAATCAACATTTTGGATCGACTTTGGTTAAAACTGCCAGCAGGGAGATTGAATAAAAATTTGAAAGCGGTATTTCTCGATTAATCGGATCGAGCCAAATTGGATAATAATTCGAAGGCCTTCCGAAATCTTTTGCCGTTCTGGAAACGTTCCAGAAATTCGAAATTCCGCTGACGACAGACACCCCGGCCAGGGACGTGGCATTGAGATACAGATAAAGTCACGTAGGAATATTATAGAAAGAAGCTCGCTGCCTGTCAATATTGGCTAAAGCTTGTTATTTTCACACAAGAAGAAACATCGACAAGTTAAAACGTGCAACAACTGCAATTAGATCAGTCTAGTTATTTATCGGAGCTAAGCAACTGGACAGCATAAGTTCTGGCAGTTAGCCAAGAGATTAAGTTCAACTGAAAGCAATTAATTTCAATTGTTTTAGTAATTTTGCAAATAAAAAAACTAGAACATTTTTAGTATCTCTGGAGGTTTCAGGCCGTTTTTATTAAATTATTTTGAGTTCTAGTAGTCAAAGCTTCGCTAATAGTTTCCACTTTTTAGTTAAACTGAAATGTATGTAAGAGTTGTATTTTCGACCAGTTTTAAACATTTTTTACTTCTTTTGGACTTCTTTTTGCCTTTTAACTGTTTGAATTGCCAGTTGAAGCCAATTTTACTCGATTTTATTTCATTTTAGTCTTTTATTCCTTATGAATCCTTAGTTTATTGAAATGTTTAATGGCTCGTTGTTATTTGCAAATTTTACAAATCATGACATTGAAAACCCTTTTTTGTTTGCCTTACTGGCGCAGTTTTCTGAAAAAACTGAAATTATAACTTTAGCGCCAATTTCCGTAATGACCATTAATTTTTACGTTTGATTTGTATCAACTTAGTTCAAGAAGGAGAAAAGATCGGGGTTTTTTGATACAAGTGAAATATCCAGTTTCGATTGACTGTGGAAATATTACAAATATACGGGAGCAAATTATTAATCAACAATTTTACAAGAAAAATTTGAGTTTTTATTCCCGAACCAAAACATTTTGCACTTTCGGTAGCCAAGTTGCCAGTTGCAATTCTAGCACATTTCCATGGAATTTAAATGAGTTTGCAACTACATTCAATATATGTATTAACAAATACACTTGAGAAAAGATTATGTCGTCTCCACCATTCTAGACGGAAATAGCAGATGGCTGCGCAGTAGGATTTCGAGATGCTGCGCAAACATACTAACCTATCCTGATGAAATCCAGGAGGCTGTGCTTTGTGTTGAGCGGTCGTCGCCGCGACCGACGACTGCCGATCCTTCCCGAGCGGATAACGTTCGGAGACAGCACCGCCGCCACTGCGCAAAACAGCAGCGCCAGCAACGCGGGTTGCAGGACAGTTCTGCGTCCAGCCACTTCCGGGGGCGACGCAGCTGCTCCCCGAACAACCGGTGGACCGGGACCCGTCGTCAGGGCACCTGAAACAATACATATTTTTCAAATATCATTGTTTTATTTAATAGTTTATTCTTGATTTTGCCTTTATTCTTACTCGCGAATTCTAAAGTCCAAGCGCCCACTGGCGGCTAAAAAATAACTACAGTTTAACTAGTCAAAGTTGACACTTGTTTTCATTAAACGTTATTGTGACATATTGTGTGTAGTTGTACTTAGGTTTTGCAAGCCTCTAAACAAATTAAAACACATTGAAAAGTGGGTAAGTAATGTTTTATGTCATTAACTAAAAAGCAAAGGTAAACGAATGGGGACTGTGGAAGGTATTACCAAGGTCGTGTTTGCAACAATTGCGAGTCATGTTTACGTTTCGCAGCGCCCTCATTGATAGTTGATCTCGCGAATAATGTAACTTTATATGAACGGTTAGAAATAATGTTTTGAAAAAGTTCTGAGAGAGATTTGATGATTTAAATKTCTAGCTGATTCTAATAGAGCTGAARGCAAGTGAGAACAGTTTTCACAGTCGTAGAACGRTTTAGGAAACTATTGCTGRCAAACATATCTCAAGAAAGAGAGAGCAATTATTCAAACCAATAAAATCGCATAATTTTGCTTGCAGTTTCGGATTATTACTAGTTGTCAAGCTCAATATTGAAAATAATGTTGGTTTTGGCGGAATGGCGGAAATTTGCTAGAAGATTTTTTTCACCAGTTTCACCCTTGACATGACTTATTACTTATATGGTTTCGATCTAAAAACACATCGCTGCACATCAGCATGGAATCGAATTTTTAGAGAACTTCAACACGTCTATCTCCAAACACAGCGTTTGAGGAAATTGGATATTGCCGAACTACGTTCTGAGGAAGCCCTGCTTAACTATATGTCTAATTAATGTATGGATGCTCTTCCCAATAAATCTGAGTTTGAACTATTTCTGGTACGGTTCCCGCAAACTGTTAATTGATCTATGGAGCCTTGAAAGCAGTAAAAGTATTGATTGCATTTATTGTGAAACTGAATATTCACTTTATAAAACAACCAACTAAACACCCCATTTGCCCAAGTACTACACTGGGAGCTTTATACACGAAGCATTTGTTTCTGCGGTTCACTCATTCAGGCAATATTTAGCCCAAGAGAGATAACATAAGATTACATTAGGATGATTGAGCTTTAGTTTATGTGGAGGATACCGAACAAACTTTGTGCCATAATTACCATAATAGAAAACCATTTTCTCTACTATTTCTCGCGTTACGTCTTATTTTCACTCCGAAAGTACGATGCTCTATCTAATTAAACCTAACAGTAATGCGAGAAATTTCAAAAGTAGACCAAATGCAGTTCAGGCTAAAGCACAAACATAAAGCGCAACTATTGCAGGATTTAGCTAAATGAAAATGTTAATTTGTCCGTTACGACTACATAATCTAAACAAGGTTACAAACAGTAATTTCGTTGGAAAATTGGGAATGTTTTTAATCTTCTTTATAGCTGAACTTTCATATATATATTTCATCTCTCAAATGTTACATTTTGGACTCTAATCCTAATTACATTTTTAATGATATTTTGTTTAGTTCTGTGCATCTACATTGTGATGTTAAATTTGCGTSTTTTTGTAGAAGGCTTGGAGAGCACAAAAATAAATTCAGTTTTGCAATAAAGGCGGTAGTGACTTCATGTTAGTAAATGAAGTGAAAAACATTGAAATTCTACTGTGAAAAGTTTGAAAAGTAAATATGTTTGTTTTATTACTCATTTTAGCGGCATTTAGCTTTTTAGCTCAATTGAGACTGAAACTGAAACAAAAAAGTAGTGTAATGTAAGCAGGGGTCCAAAGCAGAAGCTAAGTTTGTATTTTTTATGATTCAAAAATAAGTTCTGCACGTTTTAGATTAGTTGATGTCTAATTTCAAGAATACGCTACTGATTTTTTTATTTTATAAAAATGGTATATTTGAAATTCCAGATTAATGGCTTGGTTCCAACTTAATTATATTTATGTAGTGAAAGATTCACTTCGAATACATTTTTTCTAAGGTGGAAGGAAGATAGCTTGTAGTTTGGATTCCTCAGCATCAAATCTAGTTCATTTTTAATAAAAAATGTAAATTTTATCAGGTTCATTAAGATTAATTTTCTCAAGTTAAAAAATGAAATTTTAATATTGCTACTCTCGATTTACTGGTTTTCCCGTAGTTCTTAGTAAAATAGAAAATATGTGTCAAAAAGTATAGAAATTCAATAGAAAACCTTTGTAATTTCCAAACTTCTATGCTAAAAGTAGTTTACAACTCCGAGACCGATTGCTTATGTGTCATTCACTCATTATTCAATTTCTATATATGAATGAGAAGAGGTCTATCCTATAGACCTCTTCTGAACTGAAATTGAAAGTGTTTGAACGACTTAAATAGGGACAAAAATATGTATACTAGAGAAATCAAATATTTGGAAATTATTTTAGATTAGAAGAGGGGATTTGCAGAGAAAGTTGAATCTTGTCTTGTGAATTTTGTTGAAAGTCTCTGTGCTTGCACACAAAATTGAAATTTTACAAAGCCAGTCTACTTCATTATTTGCTGTTCTGTTCTACTTTAATGTCTAATTTGCTAAAGTGTGATTTTTCAAAGTAACTGTTATACTTACGCCTATTAAAACTACAATGAATGTTTTAAATATGTTCTGTGTTAGTCAAATAATTATGTTCATTGCGAGTGTGTTTATAATTAAAATGAAACATAATGTATTCACTGCAAATGCATGTGATAAGTAAAAGCCTTTTAAAGGTAAACATATTTAAATCAAAAACTATAAACATTTTATATCGTTGGGCAGATGAAACACCGTGCCAAAATTTAACAGATTTTGTTTTGTCTTGGAAAATCTCCACTGAAAATGGATTTTTCTTCTAGAGAAGCATGATTTTCTATTCGTTTTCGTTTCACTTTTCTATTTCCCATACATGATGATTGTGAAAATTGTTGCTTCCATCTCTTGTGGAATCTAGCTATGTAACAGAACCTGCTTCTCCAAATACTATTTATATAATCGTCCCCCCTTTCAAGAAAGACGAGCTTTTTGGGAAGATCCGGTGACAGCAGTTCTTGTACTGGTATATCAAAAGCAAGGTGTTTTTGCCGTACGTTTATGTCAAATTTTCTTTAAATAAAGCGCCTTAAATTATAATAACATATTAACGACTGTGCAACTAGCACATTTTTCCAGCAAATTTGCCAAATCAAAAATGATAAAGACTTTCATACCCACTTTTAGCCCTGCATCTTTTTTTATTGTCCACAGCATCATGCAAACAGAACCTCTTTAAATTCTGCAAAACAAATTCCCTATTCACGAAGGCATCAGAGCTCGTTTCTTTGCTTTGAACGCTTCGCTATTAATATACTACTGCAAACACACTTCTGTTTGATTAAAAAGTAGAACTTTAAAGTCGGAATTTCACCTCAACGCTCAAACAGAAGGAGTTTTATATTTAACTAATTCCGGCGGTGAAATAATTTCGAAATTCTTCCATCGCTGTTGAGGCAGGGCGTAATTGTACTTTAGGGGATCAGAACAAATTACCTATATTCTCTCAACCGAGATTAAGAAGATTACGCTTGAGGTTTGCAAAAATCCGAAGTTAAAAAAGTTGCTTTTTTAAAGCTTAATCCAATATTTCGCGTCTCTCATTATTTAAAAACTTTTGAACACCTAGCGCCATTAGGTGGCTAAGTACTTGCGTATCAAAGTTTCGCCCAAAACAAGTCAAAAGCAGAAAGTATCCCCAATCCTGTTATAAATAGAAAGTAAACATTGGCAGCGCAAACTAGATTAGGTCTATATAAAGTCGGTGGAAAACATTAGAATTGAATTTACGAAAAAGCGAACGAACTTTTGAAGTGTATAAAAGGGCCTCCATTACGTGCAGTTGTGTTTCCTATTCATTCTCGCAGTTAATTCAGGTTCCTTCACGTGACAATGCCCGCCCTCTCTCTGTATAATTGAGCCAATTCCCAAGTTCCTTTTCAGCCAGATAAATTATTAAATTTATAGGCATTGCTTATTATTCATGAGTAATAACTTAGCCCAAATTCGAAACGATCAATTTCAATATTTTCTTTATAAACAATAAATGGAAAGGTTTGAAACAACTCCGTTCAGTCGCCCTCGAACGAAAGAGATTAATAATGTTAATAGGGAGAACCATTTATCCAGCTTAATCGATCATTTCCCCCCATCACGGTCGAATTGCAACATGGATGGGGAGATAAGAGGAAGCACCCCCCACTTTGTCGATTAGTTATAGTTAGAATAAATTAAGGCACGTCGCTGTATTCTAGCCCACAAATTTGGTGAAACAGTTTATGTTAGTCGTTAAGATAGATCGATTTCAAATTACCGATACCGATGAAAATTGGTATGCTATCTATTTATATTTGACTATAATACAACTTGTGCATGGCGAATTTGATAGCAATTATTAAACATGACTTGTTAATTAGCTTTTTTCATTACTAGGCGTTAATTATGTGGAGAAGTGTTCTAAATAAGCTTTTATAAAGAACTGTAATCACACTGATTTTTGTGAAAATAAACACTTTATAATTTTACACAAACAATTTAGAGTTTGGAGCTGCTCACTAAAACTAACCATATTTCAAATGGTGAATAAAGTATAAAAAACTATTTGAAAATATTTTTTATTCAAATATGCCGTTCCTCTTATTGTCATCAATTTTTTTATATACAGGTTGCATTTGCAAATAGTTTAATTTTTATTTCCGTTTATTGAAATACATGTCTGTTTGAATTTATATTAATTTGGTCAATAGTTGCAGTCAAGTGACTTAAAATGTAGATCTTCCCTAACGTAAAAGCGATTTTTTTTGTAAAAAAATGTTTTAAGTTTTAGGCTATGGAACTATTAGTTCCTTTACGAGTTCATACAGTTTTTTTTAATAAAATTATACTCCGAACTGTCTGAT